GATGAAGTCACTGTCTTTGGTTTGGTTTTACTCACTGTTTGATGATCCAGGTGCTTCAGTTGGTTCAGAGTTGATTGCTTCGCAGGATGTGTGGAGAGATGCAGGATGACGCTATGAACTGATTGTCTTGACTGTTGAGTTCAAAAAATGAAAACAAAACTCCCCAAATAAACAGGCCTTCCCAAAAACAAAGTTCAGATCAATGCTGTGTTAAACAACTTCATCATACAGTTAAAACTAAGACTAACCGTGGCCTCTTCCACGCTGCACACTCACCTCAGCACACCTGACTTCAATCAAAGGTTCCTGAGATGCCAGGTCAGGTGGTGCATTAGAGTGACTCAAAAAATAATAGGAAAACTAGGACTTGCTAGAAACTGTTCTAACACAAACGTTCACGGTTTCCAGCTTCTTAAATTTGACGATTGCTGCTTTTCTCTGTTTCATATCACTTGAAACTAAATTGTTTGGGTATTTTTCACAGATTTTTCCCACATTTTATTGTTCATAAGATTCACTGTAGAAACAATAGCTTAATTGATGATGATAAACCATGAATGTAGTGTTTGCACTGTAGCTACTGTGAGAGCAAGGACACATTTTCAAACATCCAAGCCTTAGATAGTGGAATACGTACAGTTTTTTGGTGGGAGAGGTGTTTTTTCATAGCAGACATTTTGATTTGTCACAGTAGGAAAGGCACAGATGTAGTCAATAACTGTGTTACATTTCAATCAGCGGTTTCATGGCCGTGCAGATATGCATGCTGGTTCACGGTCACGGCTTACTGGGACACTTAATGGAACTGAGCTTTTGTTAATGTCATTTGTAACACCTGTGCTTTTTCTTTCACCGCGTCTAACAGCGCTGGATTAATGAGTGTGTTCACTTCTGTTTCCCTCTCCCTCTCTCCTCCAGGTGGTCGGAGGTCTCGATATACACAAAAAGATGGTGGTGGACGTGTGAGCGCTCCTCCGCTTGCTGACTCCCCCCCTTCCTCCTCGACACTCGCTTTCTCCACCATCTCTGAAGATCTGCTCAAGACGTCCGGCAAAGCGCTCTCTGTGTAACTCAATGGAAGTATTCTCTCTCTCTTACTCTTCTTCTTTCTTTCTTTCTCTCTGTGAAGCCACTTTTTCTTTCAAAAAGAACCACGGGCCTCGTGAAGCCAACTTTGAAGTGTTATTGAACTGTAAATCCTCTCAATAACCCGGTCGTAGCACTTTAAGAGACTGAAGGACATCTATTTGTCACTCGCAAGAGCAACTCCAATTTTGGATGAGGGGGGAGAGGCTGGTTGGCTTGTTCATATTTCATCCTTTCTTTTTTCTTTTTTTGTTAATTGTTATTTTTGATATTTATTTTTTGTTCTTGTCTTTTATAAAGAAGAAAAAATACAAGTATATCTACGGTTGTCTCGTGAGGGGAAAGTGTATAGCATATTAACACTTGACTTACAGTACAACTAGAAAGTAGGGTATGAAGTGCCAACCAGAACATATCCAGAAACCAGTCCAAGTTATTACCTGTCATCACCGCTGTCGCTCACACCGACACTTCCGACTGCACGACCTCGAGTCATATTACATGCAAGACTAAATTTCTGACTTTCTGTCCTCAGTTTTAGCTCACACACACACACACACACACACACACACACACACACACAAGCTGTTTGGATTAGACCAGTGAAGCTTCCAGACACTCAGCAAAGCAGTTCATGTTTCTCCTTTACTTGTGATAAGATTTATAGTTTTATTCATACTTAAGAATGTGTTCATCCTCGTTTCCTGTCATGAAATCATAGGTAGATCAAATTAATGCCAAGAAAATGTCTTTCCAAAATATTGTGGCTGCAAACTGATACGTGGTTTACTCTCGACGAAGCATTTTGCGTTTACCAGTGTGCATCCACGAGACAATCTCCAAAGCAAAACACAGCTCTGCGCTCACACTGACGAAATGAAGTGTAGTGGAAAGATTAGATTTATATTTAACGTTCAGAACAGAGGCTGGTGGCGAAGAACTGAGAGTGAGTAGAGAAGGGAGTACATAACGATTTAAGAGACTTATCTGCAGGCAGCGTTTTTTAACCAATATGTGTATATTAGGTAATCAATGTGCGCTCGAGGAGACGGCTTTGCCTCTGCTTCACATGAGCCCTTCTGAATACTTACCTTTCTCGGTACAGAGCAGGACGGGTCCGTTTTCTTTAACGCAACATGAACACTTAAAATCTTAACACGTTGGCATGATCAGTGTGCAATGGGATAGAGTGTATATTGTAGTTTATTTTGTTTAGTTTTTATTTTTGGGAACGTGTACATTTCAAAAGTTGGCTTCCTCTCCCACTTCTTTTTTCTGTCACGATCACCTGATTTTCTCCCCCTCCCACCCACTAACACGCGAACAGGGAGAACAACTGAAATTCAACCAAATGTTTATTTCTAAGGGAAAATGCTTCCTACTATAAACGGCATCGGGATGGCTTTTTTATTTTTGCTTTGGAGGCCGACTGCAGGTATGAACAGGAGTTTTCAGTCAGAGATGTGAATCAGGAGCGCTCCGTTGTCCCTCATCCCAAAGCTCTGCACGGCTTGGGCCTCCCTGTGCTTGCATGACATGGAAATATATTTTTTGTTGTGCATGTAGATGCATTTTTTGAAATAATCCTCTTGTTTACACATGGATGGTGATGTTAATATATTTAAGAATTTAATGGTATACAATATGGATGTTGCCAAACTTTGGTAAATGTACACATATTATGAGAGGTAATCCAAATGAACTGAACTACATGTAACTTTTTGTATTTTACCCGGGTCAGCCAGATGCTTCTATTCCAGTAAAAGTTGCATATCTGATCCTGTCTCAAACTGCCACACACTGTACTCAGCTTAAAGGGGAAATTTTGATGTTTTTTTTTTTTCCTTTCTTTTGTATATAAGTATTTGTTAAGTGCAGTTCTGGCTCTCTGTTCTCTGTATAGTTCAGACCGCGCTTTAGTTTGTAAGTGCTACTTTTTCTCAGAGGGACTTGGGTTCTTTTTAGTTTGTGTGGGGGATATCTGAAAAGATTTAAGTTTGAGAACCTTTTTTTTTTCCTTTTTCTGCATGCTGCATCTTATGCTGTGGGACTGTTGGAAACTTGATACTGTATGAAAATTAAATAAAATTTAAATAAACTTTGAAATGTTGAAAGTAATCCATGTTTTGGGTCATTTTTCATTACCCTTCCCTCAGGATGTCACTGACTGGACTGTATGCAGGGTGTCCACATGTGTCAGACAGCTTTTTAAGACCTGTTCAAGACACATTTCAGGACTGATTTTGGACAAATCAATTTACTTATTTAAATATCGCAGGTAAGCAGTGCAGGCACGTACTATATATGTGGTCTTGAGCAGTGTCTACTAGTGTCAATCTACATTTTGGCAACAGATAAGTGCAAGTATGAAGTAAAATGACATGTAACACTAGAGATGTGGACTTTAGCAGAACCCAAGCGGAGGAAAAATAAATATCTGCTAAGAATATTATTGTGGCATGTAAGAAATCCTTAACCAAGAAATTGCCATAAAAAGAAATACCAAGTATTGATGAATGGATTGACTTGGTTCATAATATCTATGTAATGGAGAGACTGACTATCAGTTTGAGAACACAGGAGATTTTTACTGAGAACTGGATAAAATGGTTGATATGTCTCAAACATTAGACCTGACTTTGTCTAAACAAGTATTAGAAACACTGATGTGACTTGTAGCCCCCCACTGTCTCTATATGTATGTCTTGTTTCAACATTCTTGATTTAGTTATAATTTATTCTCATGATTTTTTTTTGTTAGAACTCGTAAAATTATTATTGTACTTATTTATTTACCCCTTTTTGCTTAAGGTCTTTATGTTCATACTGCTTCTATAAACCAATAAAGAGAATTACAAAAAAATGGTGATGTTTGCAGTAGTTACGACCTCACAAATTGAAATCTAAGGCTATTTAATGACTTTTAAGGCCTTATGTTGTAACACTGAATTTAAGACATCTGAAGATTTTCTAAGGACCTGTAGATACCCTGGTACAGCCATGATCACACTTGATTTGCCAGACAGCAGCAGACAATAGGACTATCAGTGTTAATGAAGTAGGTTCTGGTCAAAAACCTGACACCTTATAAACTTCAGTAGTTGGGTTGCCATCTAAATGTAGCACGAATTTTAGCCAAATTTTCAGACAGTTGGGAAAAGAAAATGCAAATGTATGCGATTTTCTGTTAATGTGAATATTGGGAGTTAATTTTCTGGTCAGGAGCCAGTGCAGAAGAGGAGGGCGCAACAAGTTGATGTAATTAAAAAAGCGCCAGTCAAATCTTAAACTAAGGAACACAATGGATGTGTGATAACAAAAAGCACACTGGTCAATGGAAATACAGAGTTTTAAACCAGTGGTTCCCAACTGGTGGGTCCTGGGTCCATTGTGAATGGACCATGAATAACTCGTGAACGTGTTAAGTCTGTAAAAAGTACAGTGAATTTCCCGCACAGAGCTTTTACTTTGAAGTGCGGTTCTCTGCTGTAGAGTGAGTGACTAACGGACAGCTACATGACAGAGATACGAACTAGCTCAATGACATGGCCAAATGCAAGTATGATGCTGAACACACTGAGCTGTGTGGACCTGGAACAATGACTAATCAGGACCCTGTGGCTGGACCAGTTGGGAACCACTGTTTTAAACAACTAATATCACAGCTGCGTGCTCTTGGAAGAGTTCTGCGAACATCCCTGTGTGCAGAAGCATGTTAAGACATGACAGACAGCATGCAGTGGCCTGTGCAAAGACGATACAATGTGACTATAGGTTACATTATTTATTTGCTGGATGTGTTTGTATTGCAAAGTAGTGGCATAAATCTTTTATTGATTCACCTGCTTTTTGTCTTTTCCGCTCTACATAAAAACGTGGATAAAAAGCATCTAGTGACAAATTAAACTCATTTGTTCGTCGGGATTGAAATTATTTATTTACACAAACGTATGCTCACAGATAGTCGCACTCTGTTAATGCATGTATCATTATTTAGCCTCATGTTTGGGGTCAACTGATCCAAAGTGTGTCAGCTTTGTGCATGAGGCCATGACAGAGGAACCTGAGGTGTCAGTCCAAACAGTCACAGATCAATGTAGGGTTCCATCAGGCAATGGGAGGGGAGGATAAATACACACTGCAGCCAATCAGGCTTCAGAATCTCTCAGCAGCCCGGCTGGCCACCACCCTGATGTTGCCGTAGACCTTTGAAGGTGGACTTCCTGTAGAGGCAAAAGGGGGTTTAAAGGTCAGTTTTGAGCACTACATGTGCTTTCAAAGAGTTCCAGATGTGACATAAACGAATATCTTTCTTACCTAAGATTAAGTTACATATCGCTGTCCGGGCCATCTTGATATTCTGGAAAGATCCTAATAAGTGAACTTTTCTGTTGAGAGACAGATGAGGGAGAGTTAAAAGCTTCAGTTAAGAGAAACAAAAGAGGAGGCATTTCTCTGTGGTCTGTAAGTCATCATCATCATCATCATCATCATCATTCCCCCGAGGGAGGACTTCACAACTGCCAGTAAGTAATTCTATCAGTGATAAAATGCTGATGAATAATTATGTTGCTAAAATAGTACCAGCGTAATCTAGTAATGGTGGAAGGAAAGATGACTCACGTGTCTGCAAGAACAATGCGAGTCTTTGTGACGTTCTCAATGGTGAATTTGGTCTTCCCTCCCTTTCCTGCTATTCTTCCAATGGCTCTGGATAAGTGGTCTCCCTTCAGAGGTTTCACTGCCAAGGCAAACGTCATGAGATGACATAGAAAACAATTAAATACACATCAAGAGGACGGTGAGTTCATTCTGCAGCAGTGGACGAAAAGGGTGTAAAAAAAAAAATCATGTCGGTACAGTGCCAGCTTACCGTCTGTGACATCGAAGCTTTCTAGGAAAAGCTCATCTAATCTGATCAGAGCTAAAGCATCCTGGAAAGAGAAAGTCTGACCGTTAACGTCGTATAACCACAGCAGTCTATTAAAGGTGACAGTAATTAAAGAATAAAAATGGGCTTTTAAATTTAGGAATATCTGACAAAAATATTTGCAACATTTGGACGATACAATCTACAAAATTCTCTGCAGGTTTTACAGACTGTTTGACTGTGGCTTTATCTTTTCAGCAGTGCGGAACACTGGCTTACTGATGTCAAATACTTTGACAGTTCAGTATCAGCACACCAAAAATTAAATCCAAGTCCTAATCCTGAATCTCTACCACTGTCCCCTCACTTAACAGTGTCTAAAATACACATTTTGTACAAAAACAGACTGAAAAACCTGATAAAAATAATCATGCAGTCATGAAATGAAAACATGCAGAGCTCACCAAACCCTTTCATCAGTGTACTTACTTCAACCTGGAATCCCAGAATAAACGCTCTAACAAAATCTGTTGCTTTAGTGAGTGAGGCAATGTCCTCTGTTTCTTTGCATGTCTGGAAGAAGAAAAGTATATCACACAAACTATAGGTGCCAGACAAAAACAGTGCAGGTGGTATTATTGTGAGAAAAAAAAAAAAGCTCAGTCAGGTCAACATGGCTACAATATGATGGGGGAAACTTACTTTGATTTCAACATTCCTAGTTTTGAGGTTGAATCTAACTTGAAGCTGCAGGTTCTCTACAATGGGGGTGAAAATCTTCAGCCAGTTTTCTTTCAGCGGGGTGTACCTGTGAGCTGGGACGGGGATTTTGCGCATCTCAGTTGGTCCCTGAAAACACACACAAAACAATTATTTCACTGCGTAACTGTGTTCTGTAGCACTGAAGTGGGATTCATTTGAATACCACTAAAGTTACAAAATCCAAAAACTTAGCCTTAAAAGCAAAAACACACGATTAAAAGTCAAAGTTGTGCAGAACACACTCCCTTAAGAGTGAGTAGAAGTCTTAGCAGCACAATGTGCTAAAGCACACTCGTCACTGTGACTGATTGTCCTTTTCAGCTTTTAATTACTGATGCATTAATTTGCATTCTTAATTTTAAAGTTGTGGGTGGCCTCACTAATCCTTATAATGCTGGGTAGGTATTAGGTATGAATATTTTAATTTGGAAATTTATTCTACAAAGTAGCTGGTGACTGCAGCCATTACACAAGCGTACTGTTGTATGCAGTGAAATAAAAGTCTCAAAAATCAGTATAATGCAAAAAAGAACCACACAACTATTATTATTATTATTAACAATTATTAAAGTTTTGGCTTCCAGTGGTAGCCTGTAACAAAGCATATTTATCTAAGTATTGTGCTCCAATACTTTACCTGAGTATATCCAGGTAAATATTGTACGTTCTACTCCATTAAATTTGTCTGACAGCTTTAGTTAATTTGTCATACCCTTCCTGTAAGTGAAAATCATTGGTGATATTGAATTTTTATTTTCCTGGTAAACTACATGATGTGTGTTCAGAGAATAATCCTACTTCTTAAGCTTAAAAACTATTTACAAACCCTCATGGGTCCACTGGAATATAAATAGTCACAAAGCTGAAAACAAGGCTGTTTTTTCTGACACCATGACAAGCTGACAGCGAGGCTATAGTTTAATCTATGGGGTTAAAACAAGTACAACCGTAAACATCTACAGCCGTAAAATGCAACATACACACTAATGCAGCAGCCATTTTAATCCAAAATGATCTATAATAGTTAGATAATGACAGGGAACATTCAACTGCACAATGACTACTTATACTTGTCACACATTAATGTGATATTTCATGCAGAAGTTTTACTTTACACAGAATATTTTTACAGTGTTGTATTATAAGTTGTGCTAAGGATCTTAATACTTCTTCCACTACTGGTGATCCTCCCTGAGTCACTTGTACAACATACTTGCAGTAGTTTTATTTAGTGCAGTCACAAGACAACAGTGCGCATGCGCAAAATAGTTTCTAGTTCTAGACGGAGACAAATAACATTGAATAAACAAGTGTTTGTATTTGTATTTGATACAGCTGAGACACCACACAGAGCACATATACACAGTCATTAGTTACCCTTAATTTGTCGCTTGATATCGGTGGAAACTGCGGCCGCTTGTTCGCCACGGGCCCCTCAGTGTCCATGTCCGCTCCATCTTGTTCACGTTTTCGCTTCTGACTCTTTTTAGACTTCACCTTTGTGAAGGACTCCGTGTCGTCTTTGCTCTCCATTGCGGCGCCAGCCTCTGGGGTTGTAGTTTTATCGGTGTCCATCCCTGAAACTAGTTTTAAATCAGATTAAACGGTCAAAACTGAGGCTGATGTGGGATACACAGGCATGAGGGTGTCCTCGTGCGACGAAAAGGACCTCAACCGCCACATCGTCGACGCCTGTAGACAGAAAATAATTATTATTCGAGTTGTAATTAGCAAATATGTCTCATTTAGGGACTAAAATTGAGTTTAAAGTAACAATATATCTGAATATATTGTCTATGTATCTAAAATACGTCAAATGCTTAACTTAAATGAATGATTTTCTTCAGGCATCTCTTCGGGCAGCCCGCACGCTCAGTTGTAGCCTATGGCTGTAGCAGGAGCTCAACGTCATTTGTTTTGGCAGCTAGCTGTATCGCATGGCAGTCTTGTAACTTTAACTAGAAAAAAAACCGTTTTACACTTTATCTTATAAACAGTAAAGATGTCATCGCCGCTAGCAAAGCCTCAGATTATCGCGCATTTCCAGAAGAGTTTGAACTACACGGTGTTTGACAGTAAATGGATCCCCTGCAGCGCGAAGTTTGTCTGTCTCGGGAACTTTCCAAGAGGAACCGGAGTAATGCAAATATATGAAGTGCAGCACGGAGAAGCTCAGCTCGTCAAGGAGGTCGGTAACACTGAAATATTTTACTCCTGTTTGGCCTTGTCCCTTTTATTCCTCATAAATACATCACGTAAACAGCGTATCTCTGGGGCTAGCTAACTAGAAACTAAGGTCTTGTCAGTTGAGTGTCTCCATAGCAACAAGCATGAGGTCCATAAGTCCTCTAGTGGGACCTGTGCTCACAGCCCAGCACCGTGCAGCTTGATTGGCATTCGCTAGAGAACACTAGAATTGGCAGGTACACCTTTGGCACCACATTCTCTTCATAGATCAGAGTAGGTTCACACTGAGCACATGTGACAGGCGTGAAAGAGTCTGGAGACGCCGTGGTGACATTATCCAGCATGACCGGTTTGGCGGTGGGTCAGTGATGGTCTGGGGAGGCATATCCATGGAGGGTCGCACAGACCTCCATGTCATAGCCAGCAGTACCCTGACTGCTGTTAGGAACCAGGATGAAATCCTCAGAGCGATTGTCAGATCTTACGCTGGTGCAGCGGGCCCTGGGTTCCTCCTGGTGCAGGACAAGGCCCAGCCTCATGTGGCCAGAGTGTGTAGGCAGTTCCTGGATGACGAAAGCATTGATGCCATCGACTGGCCCTCTCATTCTCCGGACCTAAATCCAACCGAGCACCTATGGGACATTATGTATCGGTGTACCTGACACCACCAAGTGCCGCACAACAATTCGTTTACTGTGTAACATTACAAAACTGGGTTCTGTGGCACTAGGGATTTATTTGAATACCACTTTAGTTACTTAAAGTTGCAAAATCCAACAATGCCTTAAAAGAAACACACACAGGATTAACACATTGCGTTAATTGCTCAAGGTTCAACTAAAAATAAATATATGGTGTTCCTCCCTTTTTCACCACTTGTTGCATTGCCTCATTTTGGTGCTAAAAAACTTCCCTTCTATGTTTCAGGTGGAGAAACCCAAAGCCATAAAGTGTGGGACATTTGGGGCTACCTCTCTTCAGCAAAGACACATAGCAACTGGGGATTTCGATGGAAATCTCAATATATGGTATTTTATCCACATCCATTCATGTCACACCATCTGTGTATTGCCATGAAATTAAATGAAGGACATGTTATAAAAGCTGAACCTTAATTCATTTTTTTTTAACACAAACCACTTCATGTGCTTACTGCTGAGCCTAAATTCAAAGCTGTTTTAATTTTTACGGCTCAATTATAATTGGCCTCTTCATGAAAAAATGTTTTTATGATTACCTGCTGTCTGACTGAATTGAAAGAGAGGCCACCTTGACCCTGTTTTGAAGTCTACTTGTTCGTTCAAAAGCAGATGCTTTTGTTGTCCACAGGAATCTGGAGATGCCTGAAGTGCCGGTGTACACTGTGAAGGCCCACAAAGAGATAGTGAATAGCATTGATGGTGTTGGCGGCCTGGGGATTGGCGATGGTGCGCCTGAGATAGTCACTGGAAGCAGAGACGGTAAGAACATTAAAGTTTAAAGGAGTTTACATTTAAAACCTTTTGAAAGCAATAACATAAAGAATAGAAAGATGTTAGCAAAAATCAAATTCCTTTGGGTGTTGCAGGGACAGTAAAGGTGTGGGATCCCAGACAGAAGGATTCACCTGTTGCCAACATGGAGCCCATTGAAGGAGAAACAAAGAGGGACTGCTGGACTGTTGCGTTTGGTGTGTGAAGTAAAAGTTTTCAGCTTTTGAAAGCACCTACATCTATAAGGTTTGTATATGAATATATGAATCAAAAACACTGTTCATTCATTTTCCTTTGACCCCATCACTACAGGTCATGCCTTCAACGATCAGGACCGCTGTGTGTGCGCTGGCTACGACAACGGGGACATCAAACTCTTTGACCTGCGGAACATGTCTCTGCGGTGGGAAACCAACATTAAAAATGGGGTGAGGTGAACACTTGTGTTGAAATGTTAAAACATAAAAAACAGATGCTAATATGTGGCGTGACAGCCCACATGGCATGTTAGTTTCCTTTTGAAGTTGTTGAACATTCAGGAGATTTCCCTCTTGATTTCTTTAGTCAGACAGTGTGGCACCACAGCAAGAAAATATGTTTCCATTTCTGAAGAAAATGGAAACAAATTCAGCCTGAAACACAAAGACTAGTCCTCATATTGAGACCTGATGTTTTTATTAGGATAATCTGTCCAAACATAGATTATTTCTTTTACATTGCAACCTGCAGTTGAATCAGAAAGTAGACACAAACAGGGACAGACGTGGAGACAGAGGTGAAAATGACTTCCTAGTAAGACTGTACATAAAACCACAAGGGAAGTCTGAGGTGAATGCGTGTTCCCTTCACACGCCATGTAAAGCACTGCGCTGATTTTATTACACAGCTGTCTCTCTTATTCATCACCTCTTGAATATAGGTGAACCTGCCAGGCATCATTACATCCATTTCAACACTGCTGCATGGACAGTAGTTTTTGGCGGAGCCAGGCCGTGTGATAAATGTCCAGGAAGTGACTGTTATTTTTTCTTACATCACGGCCAGGTATGCTGCGTGGAGTTCGACAGGAAAGACATCAACATGAACAAGCTGGTCGCCACCTCACTGGAGGGAAAATTCCATGTCTTTGACATGAGGACCCAACACCCCACCAAGGGCTTCGCCTCTGTTTCCGAAAAGGTAATTGACCCGGGTGGAGAGAGCCAGACGGATGTTTGGCTCCCACATACGGGAAAAATGTCAAAAGGTTATTATCGTTATTATTGTTTTTACATTTGTCTGGTACGGAGGGAAATGGGGGCGCACGTCGCTCTGCCCGCTTTCACAGCTGGAAGTGTTTGGGCTTGTGTTTGTCTAATATTCTCTGTGGCTTTGTGACACTGGCCAAAAATGACAGTGGGCCGGCGAGGAGAGAGAAGTGTGGCCTTTTTGTGGGAACATGCAAGAAAAACACACTTAAACTAGCGTTAGTGCGCAGCGCAGCTCTCAAAGTGTTTGCAAGGTCTGAGAGATCAGAGGCCTCAGCTTTCTAAATATTTGTCCAGTTCTTCAGAGCGATCAACAGTTGGCACATCAATGTCTCCAGCTATGAATCATAAGGTTCCACCACCAGGAATTTTGGTCTAGAATAAGATCAGTGCAGCTCTACAAAGCCTAAACACAAAGCTTTGGATTTTCTTTTGTTATATTAATTTATATAGAATTATGCTAAGCAACTCAGAACAGTGGATGAAAGTGGAGAGTGGATTCTGAAGGCATTATTTGCTTGTTTTTGTTAAACAGTGTTAAAAGGCATTGGATTCATTAATCTAAAAATAAGGCCTTAATTACTATTAAAATATTTTAAAAAGTCTTTCAAAAGTTTAAAAAATACTAAGATATCGAAAGCTGGATTTTATTAATCATGTTTTTCTGTCGTTGCATTGTAAAATCTCAATTTGGTAACATCATAATTTACAGAATGCTCACATAACTGGACGACATGGAGAAGTGCAGATTCAACAAGAAATTGCCTATGTAACCAAGATTTTGCGACATGGCTAAAACGGATATAAAACAATTCACATGAGGCTTGCTGAAGTTATATGCAAAAAGTTTTTCAAACTCAGCACAATAGAAATCAAGGCAGTTGAATCTCACATACAGTAAGAAAATCGGCAAGAAAACCTGCCAACAAACAGCAGGTATTTCATTGTTCTGTCCTACCCTCGTCTCCGCCACTCAGCATTTGGGCAAAATTGTCCTTAATCCAAAGTAACTGATGTCAGTTCACGTTTGTTGTTCTATAGTTTCGGTTACTGGAAATTTGTTGTTCAAATTTCACTCTGATTGGCATCTAACATGCCTTAAACCAGTGTTTCTCAAATGGTGTGCAATGATGCCAATCCAGGTGTGCTGTAGGATTTTGTGATAACCACACATTATTATTATTACAATATTCAGCTGGATTTTAAGTGTGTGACACATTAAAAGCCCTGATTGGCAGTCAGTGTGACGGATGAGAACATTTAAAAGGAGAAAGTACAGAGCAAATTACAACAAAGCACCAGCGAAGACAACCTACCATTGGAAGAAAAGAGAAAAAAACTGTCAGTAGACAGTATCATGAAAGATACATGTCTTATTTTTTTACCTGTCTTATATTTTTATTGTCTAATGTCGTGATAAGAGTGATAACACACATTATGGAAGCTATTGTGCACAGATATAAATACAGGTGTACCCTTTGGTGTGACTTCGGCATAGTGTTGTCACGATACCAAAATCTTTGTTTCGGTACCAATATGAATTTCGATACTTTTCGATACTCTTCGGTACTTTTCCTAAGGAAAAGTCCTTTTGGCTACAAACCTTTAGAACAATAAATAGTAGGGGTGTAACGGTACCAAAAAATCATGGTTCTGTAAGTACCTCAGTACAGACGTCACGGTTTGGTTGCTCAAATATTTTTGAGTTTGTGTTGTCTCATGTTGTCTCCCTTTGCAAGGCAGACTTTCTCGTCTTTTTTCAAGTGCGCCAGCTGCGGATGTTGATACAGGTGTTGTCATATACACCACTTGTGCAATCTGTGCTCCAATAGGAACAAGAAAGGCGTTTGTGTGCATAAATGAGTAAAATAAATTAACTAAATTAATGAATTGAATCAATTTCAAAGTACCGGTATTTTCCAAATGCAGTATAGTACCGTTTGGAATACTCTCGTACCACGGTACTATTTTAGTACCCGTATACCGTGCAACACTACTTCGGCACAAAAGTTTTGAAAACCACTGCCTTAAACTGAATCCTGTCCATCGCTGCTCGTGAACTGCGGTCAAACTGCTTAACTAGGCAGCGCTGATCAAATCTGCAGTTTGTCAGACTTTTCAGCTCCAATTGTTTGTTTTCCGTGAGCCCTGGTAGATTCTAGCAAATGCCACGAGAAGCAAAAGGAGTGGGAGGAGGACAAACCTATTATGTGTCTCATGTGCTTCTGTGTGAGTACAGTTAGTCTCAGCACACGACAAAAGTTGTTTTTTATAAAAGATGCCAACTGTATTTTTAATATTAAACAATGCATTTTTTTCTGAAGGTGTTCTGCATAAATAAAGGTTCAGTAACAGCTTTCCACAGTGCAGTCTGCTCTATTTGACATAAGAGAAAGTGGAGTGCTGGGGAAGGTGTGAGCAGAGCAAACAGGCCTGATAGCAGAAATCACACTGAGGATAAGAACTAATGCAATGACATCCCTTTAAACAGACTTAAGAATTTAACGTCATACAAAAGGGAGAGTCAGAAGTGTTTAAGTGACAATATTGTTGACAAAAGTGACGCACATGCAAGGCCGCATTATTTGACCCTCAGCAGATGCACGTGGTTATGAGGTTTTCGACACAGGTTTACAGTGTCTTGGTGCTCAGGAAGGTTTTAAGAATGAATTTCTAAAGAAATTGTTTTGGGAATTAAATGATCCCTCTGCTTTATTTCAGGCTCATAAGTCGACCATCTGGCAGGTGAAGCATTTGCCTCAAAACAGAGACATCTTCATGACCGCAGGAGGAGCAGGCAACTTACATCTCTGGAAATAGTAAGTAATCCAGCCTTAACTCCAACAGTCTTTGTTCCATTTCAGGATGCATAATCAATCATCATGATGGTTGTTTATAAGAATCACATTTCCTGCATTACTGTAAACTGATCTATAAAATATTTATTTGTGCATCGATTTTATTTCCAGTGAGTATCCCGCTCAGAGAAGCAAAAAGGGGTCAGATGACATGGATGTGGGCGTAGCTGGCTCTGTTAACCTCCTACAGAACGCTACCCTGTCTACTCAGCCGATCGCCAGCCTGGACTGGAGCCCCGACAAGCAGGGCCTGTGTGTGTGCGCGAGCTTTGACCAGTCAGTCCGCGTGCTCATCGTCACCAAACTCAACTCGGTGTGAAACAGTAGACCAGAACAAAAACTGACGGTCAGGGTGTGTGCAGCCTGATATGAGATGAGACATAATGTCAGAGACACCAACAGTGTGTAAATCACTGCCGTTCTGTCAGGCTGAATAGTCTTTTATTAGAAGACAACAATTTCCTCCTGCGTGTCTTGGCTGCTGTCTTTCTAGATTTTGTACAGTCGATACTCATCCTCAGAAATGTCTTGCCAGGAAACTGTTTAACTCAAATGAACTTGGAAATCCTTGGTTGGTGTTATGCTGTGTGGTCTCTGTTAAATGCTAGCCTTGAAAAATGTGTAGTGCTTGGCTGAGCCCTGCAGGCAGTGTTAACCTGGAGTGCAGAGAAATCCAATGATACCTTTCTTGTATTATCAAAAGAGCCTCTAATGGGATGAAGGAATGAGTCATTTGGCCTCTGGCTTGGAAAAACAGTTTGGGGATCAAGATTTAATGTTTTTTATCTGGTTTCATTTTTGTAGGATGTTCACTGAAACACGTCTTTTGTTGCACTATTGGTGGATGTGTTGTTCTCCAGTTTTGTCTGTTGTTGCTATTGTCACTTTTGATATTCCATTTTTATTGAGAGCTCTGTTTTTTCAAATTAAATGTGCTTTTGGAGAAAAAGATGAACATTTTCTCAGTGTCCCTGTCCAATATGAATAGCTTAGCTGAAGCCAAGAGGATTTCTATACCACTGAACACAAAGAGTGCCTTATCAGCTCAAGACAAAGGACGGTATAGAGTAAGCAAACTGTGACTCACCTAAAGATTCAGAAAGATGAATACATGTATTTGTTAAAGGGTTACACGCATGATTATATCCAGCATTTGAATTTAAAGAAGTCCTGTAGCTCCTGATCATCCTCCTGTCTGTCATGGATCTTTGCATAGAAGCTACGCAGCAGCGTGGTCATGGACTTCCCATCCAAGATGTCAATGTATTTGTCTATACAACCTACAAACACAGCCACAGATTAGTACATTGACATCACTGCAGCCACATAATGCTTTAACATATAAAGAGCTTCATGCCAAAATGTCTCACGTTTCAATTTTTAAAGGAGACATAATGTAACAATAATATATTGAACATCTTAAGATAATTTAGTGATCCAACCTGACCTACTCTGTGCACACTTTTTTATCTGACATCATGCTGCATGTATGTGCTCTATGTAACGGGGCATGTGGCCGGCACACCAGCTGTGATTTGATACATCTCTATAAAAAGCATGTCATGGCATGTCACATGGGCCTGTCTGCATGATTTCAATACAACACTGTATTTAATAACACATTTGTTAAATATAGCAACCGCATAGCAACATAACTTTAATAACAGTAACAGTCTAATATTACTATGTCTCCAGTATTTCTAATAATAGGAAAAAGTAATCACTTAGGCCCATGACTTTGCCGTATGCTACGAGGCTGGGACCCAGCTGCGGGTGGTCATACTGCTCCAGAGTCATCAGCAAGCGGACGATCTCTCCGGCGATGAAGGCGTCATCAAAACTCTGCTCAGACACGGGCTTCAGAGGGAACCTGCAGTACACCTCCACTGCAGCCTGAGGGTCTGATGGCTCCAGCAGTTGCACAAGCTCAATGTAGGCATCATGGACCTAGAGACAGTTAAATCATCTTATCTGGATTACATCAATAGAGGGAAATCAATACCAGACATCTGCCGACTGCTTGTATATTTCTATAAATAACTACTTTACTTTAAACTTCTGAAAGTTGCACAAGACATTAAGAAGACTTTCCCATAGAAATGTAACTTCTGACATTTCATTTTCTTTTAATCCCATAAGGATGTAATGTCACGTGAAAACTATGAATTTGAATATAACCACACTCGTCTGTCAGCTAAATGTGAGCCATCATGATAAAATATGAGAGCCTGAAAACTTATCAACAGTTACACGCCGTTGTGAGCATTTATACTTGTGCGGTGGTGTGTCTGTGTCACTCTGCAGTTACACCTCCAAAACACTAGTTGGGGGCGGAGGTTTCTGTGAAGTGCTGTTAAATTTAGTTGATTCAAAACACACATTAAACACACATTAAACATGGCTTAATAGAGACAATTTCAAACACAAGTACACACATCGGCTTCACTATAACTCGCAGCATTCACAGACAAACACTTGTCTTTATCTGGACACATTTTCCCCACAAATACAACATGCTAACGTTATTAGCACAAGTCTATGGCATTTTATATTGTATGAATTAGCCTAGCAATCTTTTCCGCTTCTCATATAAAACCAGGGACCACAGTAACATTTAACAAAGGTAACGGCACACAAGTTGGCTCCATTACAACTCACAAGGTTCACTGACAAAACAACTGTCTTACACTAAACACATTTTCCAAACAAATACAGCATGCTAACGTTATTAGCACAAGCCTATGGCATTTTACATTGTATAAATTAGCCTAGCGACGAGCGGAGATTTCCTCTGCTGATAAGAAACCTAGATAAATCCCGAAGTATAAATCCCTGAAGGATAAAACACACACACGACTCTACGTCTACGTTGACGTGGAGCCTACGCCGTAGCTACAGCCTCGATTCAATGCAGAAGTATAAATTCCCCCCAATTTATAGAATGTATTATAGCCATGAGACATAATTCCTGAGGTATTATTTTCAGGGATATATTCTGCTATTTAAACATTAGGATTTGTAAAGGTTTTACAAAAAACCAAATGTGTAGTTTTCTAATCCAACAGTGGCGCATGTGATCATTCCACTGGACCTTATCACGACGACTGGAATCACACAGTTGGATGGGCATGAAATGTAACCACTGTAGGAAATGCCTTAATGTAACAGATAACTGACCCCTGGTGCCATGCAGATGACCTCCTGGTAGAGCTGCTTTGCCTGCTCCTTGGTGTCTGCAGAGCGGGAAAGGGCGCGGGCCAGACCCAGCCTTGAGATATGAGACCTATGGCTCACGGGACTCGCTGTGCTCGCTCTGCCCGCCACAGCAGGCTCTGAAACAACAATAACTACACACATACAGTCTAAATACCACCTTTGAGAAACCCAGGAAGAAAAAAACTAAAAGATTTCTGTTGCTGTTATTTCATGCCTCATATATGAGATTTAACAATGATACTATTGTTCGGTATACCGTATATCACTAACATAAGCTTCCCCCAATCATAAAAATTTAAGTCTTGGGGGAGGAAAGGTTTTCACATGTCTCTGTATGCCACTCTCAATTGCCATGCCTTACCCTCTGCTGTCTCAGTATCGGGGCAACAGTCCTGTTTAGACTTGTTGGAGGTGAGCTGGGGTCTAGTTGCGTTGTTGGAAGGTTTAGCTGATCTGTCTGGCTTAGCTGTTGCTCCAGCTCTCCCCCTACAGGAGAGGAAATATAACACAAATGCTCCAAAAAGGATTACAGAATTAAAGACACTCAAGTTTAAGTTTTGATAATGATTCTGTTGCATATGATAATACACAACAATGTACAGTCAGGACTTTAAAAACTTTTCAAGATGCTTCTTTTTCATGCAGCTTCTATAAGAAAACAACCCAAAAACTTGCTCCAGTGCAGCTACCCAGGCTGACACACAGTAAAAGATTGTACTTGACATGAATATGAAGTAGCATGGAAGTGAGAAAAGTAAGCATCCACAGGAAATCATCCATGAATAAATAAATGCGGACAAACATCCAGGCAACCACATAACAGGTCGGCCAAATGCTTGACTCAGGCTGCCAGCGTGACTCACCTGGCTGCAGGGGTTTTGGCTGGAGGCTGCGCAGCTTTTCCTCCCCTGCTGGGGGCTGGCGGGGCAGGAGCAGGAGCTTTGGTTACAGCTGCTGCCAGCCGCCCTTGACCAGGTCCTCCCTTGCCCCGCTTAGCTCCTCTCTTGGCCACGCTGGTGTCAGAGGGCCCCTTCACTCCTGCTGGCTGAGTGATGGACTGCTTGGCAGCTTTCTCGTTTTCAGCCTCCTGCCGGTCCTGCCACCACTTTTGTTCTGAGCAAACGGGATGGTTAATGTGGCTGTGGAGTTCATCTCCACAAAGCTATCATAACTGCTCATTGTAAAGTGTTTGCTAAACAACGAAGCACATCTATTAATTGGAAGTTGTTCAGGTTACTATATCATATATAGCCGATTGTCATGAATCCAAAGACAGTAAGTACACTATGCAGACTCACTGCTCAGCTGTTCAAGAGGCTCTCCGCTCTGAGTCTTGTGTTCCAGCTCGATGCTAGCCTGGAGGCTGAGGCAGGCATCACTTATGGCTTCCTTTGAGCTGTCTGAATTTGGGTTGTTGTCATATTGAGCCAGCTGTGCCAGACCCAGGAGACACAGGGCGTGGCTGTCCCATGGTGTGGTCACCACTGCTAGCTGGCATACCTGTTCACAGCAGCAGTGAAGGAGCAGAAGGTATGAGTCAGATTTCTCTTTCCCTTGCAAACATAACAGTGAATATATGGACTTGCTCTGGTGTGTCAATGTACATCATCTTGTCAACAAAATACAACTCTCAAAATACAAATAACATACTCTTACCCTCTCCTGCATGTCCAGCAGCTCCTGACAGGGGGCGATAGAGGTGAGCCGTATGAGAGCTGTGAGGGCCTGGCATCTCTTTGCCACCAGGGACTGTCTCTCAGTGCCAGGCTTGGCGTGGCGCTCACCCTGTTGGATCACCCTCTGCAGCAGAGCAAAGTGAGCATCCAGGAGCACCCACTCCAGCTGCCCCCTCACCTCGCCACGACACACACACTGACTCACACTCTGGGCTGTCAGCGCCGCTACACTGAAGCATTCCAGCACAGAGACAAGCAGACACAGGGTTTTTATGCAGTGCTCAACACTTATTAAACTGGGTCATACTGGTGTGAATGTTGAGACTTTTCCTTGAGTCACAATGGAGATAAGTGAGAGAACGAGTATGAGCTGAGATCCACCACAAACACTAGGTAAAAAAGGGAATATCTGTCTTTTTTTTAACTTGAAAACTTACATGTGAAAGACCTGCTCTGCACTCATGGCCTTTCCAGACAGTAAGTTTCTCTGCTGCAGCTGGCCCAGAGTGAGAAGGCCTCGCAGGAACTGTGTGCTGAGGCCGGACAGAGGGTCTGATGGATCCTGCTCCACCCAGCTGTACAGACAATCATGACAAAAGAATGGCAGCACAGAAAGAAACAGCCGTAATGACCATGATGAACAGACAAATTCATGGTAATGACAGAGGCTACTTCATTATAAATCCCAAAATATTTGGACTTTCTGGCTCCAGTAACTGATAAAGATGGGGGTTAGTGGAAAACACAAATCTAGACTCTGAAGCCTGTGTATGGGTGACACTACAGATGGTATTTTTATGTGTCTCTACAGACTATGACAGTCTGTTTCTCTATCCTATTCTCCCTCCTGCAGGCTTAAACAGAACATCCTGGTACATTACTGATACTGTCATGCCCTCACACTCTCTCCCTGTCTCGCTGAATGCATCCACCTCCACCACACACACACATACACACACATGCAAACCTCTTGCTGCAGCGCTGGCTGACAAAGTGCTCCAGTCCCTGTTGTAAGAACAGCGCAGCCTCCTTCTCTGTGTCCTCAGAGGCTTTGTGCTC